AAACAACGAAAAACGTCCTTCAGTTTTTTCAATTTATCAATTTTTCTGATCATAAATGTTTTTGTCACTTTATGCGCCTCGTTTGACCCTTCAATGCTTTGCCTTGGTACAATCACTTTAGTTTTTACAAAATAATTTCAATCAAAAATTGCTGTCATTTGTAGTAACCTGACCTCTCTTCTTCACTCGCTCTTTCGGGCTTCGAAAATTCTCGGAATTGATATTTTTACGAAATACAGAACAATTTTCATTACCTCTTTCCAAATTTGTTGTACTAATAAAAGAGGGTGAATCAAAACTCAGAATATTTAGCTTGATCAAAAGAATTTCTGGTTTCTTTAATAAAATGAAGAGTGAAAGTTTTTGAAAAATTGGAATTTGCCAAAGGACAAATCGTTTTCTTACAAGTTCAAGGGGTAGCCGCTCATACAGTCTCAACCTCGTGTCATGCCTCGATTAAGCCTTTAACATCAGTTTTGGCTGGGTAGTTTTTCAGAAAAAAAATCAAAAAACGGACAAAATGTTCAAACACAACCTTTTCTGAGTGACGAAACTTTTTTCAAAGAAGAATTAGATATAGCAGCTTATAATAAAGAGCTTTTCTCATTTCTTTTTTTATTGAGCCCAAAATCTCACATTTCTTCCCGCATAACAAATCATAAAATTTTAAAAAATCAAAAAGTTCCGAAAATTTGATTTTTACGAGGGACATATGAGTGTGTAAAACAATTAGGCTTAGCGGCAGATTTAGAAAAGCTTCCCACATTCCAATTGTTTCATTAAACCTGAAATCTAAATTTTAAGAGGGCAGTTTTGGAGAATAGTCAAAATTCAAAAAACGTTCAAAAATTCAAACATTTGAGTTTACCGAGATCCATAATTTTTTTGTTAAAAATATTGGGGAAAGCCGCATAAGCACGGGAGTTCCTCGCAGCTCATTCTTTTGATTGAGCTTAAAATCTCAAATTAGAGAAGAAAATTTAAAATCTCAAATTAGAGAAGAAGGGCAAAAAAGACAAAAAATTCTGAAAAAAAAACACAATTTTGGCATTTCAAGAGGGCGATAATTTTTTGTGTTAAGAATTCGGGTACAGTCGCTCATGCAGGGAGCTTCACACAGCCTGTTTGTTGGATTGAACTCAAAAATTCAAATATTGAAGGCTGGTGTTCCGAAGACGTTAAATTTTTTGCTAACACAGGGGTCCTTCCCGCAATATGTTCTCTCCATTGATAGAAAAATTGAAAATTGAAAGGGCATTTTTGAGCAAAGTCGGAAAAATTCAAAAAAAAACGGATTAAAAAATCCAATAATTGACTTTTCCGAGGGCCATAACAATTTAAATTGTCCAAATTTGGTCAATGACGCTACTGGAGGGGCTCTTAATCTAACCAGTGCTTTAGAGTGAAACAAATTCCCTGTTTGGATTTGCCGTTGTAGAGAAAAGTCAACAAATTTTTAAAATTGTTTAATTAATGAATTAATTAAAACTGCAAGAATAAAAAGTAAAAAAGGCTTGTGAAAAAAAAACGTAAGAAATCAGGTCAAAGTCAAACTAATTTTTAAGTTTTATTTTGAAACTGAATACTGGAAAAAAAATTTCGACAACGTCTTATATCTTTGATAATTTAATGTCTGTAACAGATTGTAAGGGTTTTAATTTGATTTCGTTCCTTTGCAATTGGGAGCTGTTTTTGAGGCAGTTACAATGAACAGACTCACTCTGCCCGATAGTTCTAGTAGTTAATTGGAGAGTTATTTCGTAAACTTTTTTCAAAATTGACTCAACCGTAACTCAACCGAAGTTTTGAAACGTGACTTGAAAAAAGATGAAAATGAGGCAACTATCGAAACCAGGAATCGGAAAACAAATTTGAGACTTGTTTTAAAACAACTCAGTGAAATTTGCGCTAGATGTTAAAGGAACTCGTAGTTTTTTTTAGGAAAATGAACACGTCCGTACTCGTAGTTTCCAGCAACTGCACGTCATTTTTACACATGACTAAGAAAAGTAGCTTAATGGAGAAAAAAACTAACTATACTTTTTGTACTTTAAATACAAAAAAAACCTTCAATGGAGAATTAAATTCAATAAACAGCTAGAAAACAGAAGTTCAATTTCAAGACAAGATATGCAAACACAACAGAAGCAAATTTTACGAATAACACTGTAACAGAGCATAACAACCAAACAAAAAGTACTCTTCGAATGCACAAAAACTTTCTAGTCTCATCATTTAGACAACAACGAATGAACGCGAGAAAGCTCCCGCTCAAGAACTCAATAGAAAAAAAAATCATTACATTTGTGTCGTATTGTCAGTGTCTATGAAAGCGTAAGTTATAATTATTTTTTAAATCAATTAAAAAATTATAATTACGCTTGATTTGCATTGAATTATTTTGCTTATTTATTTTGTTTTGCCTATGCAAAACAATCCATTGCAAATCAATTATATCTGAATATTTTTTCTTTTCATAGATACTGACAATGAAATTTATATGTAATAAAGTTTCATCAAAAAATCCTGTGCGGAAACGTTCTCTCTTTTAATTTTTGTTGTCTATAACTAGTTACCAGAGTTTTTGGATTCAAAACTAATATTTGGTTTGCTTTTTTGCTATATTCCAGTTATATTGTTATCATTTGCTTTTTGTAAATAAAAGTCATTTCAAACATTCAGAATCAATTATTTGAAATTTACTTTGAATAAACATCTACAAAGAAAAAAAACGGTCGTTGAAATCAAAACATCAAAGTAAATTTCAAATAAATGATTTTGATTGTTTGAAATGACTTTTACTTACAAAAAAGCAAATGATTAGATTTGTTGAAGTTTCATAACTTTCAAATCTAGCTGGCTAAAAATGGCCAATTGCCGTTTTTAAATGTTGTCATTTTCAAGTTTAAGCAATTACTGGTCGATTGGCACAGAAAGGCATCAATCAACGCAATTTCTATAAAACAAAACTGAAAAAAGTTTTTTTTTAAAATCATTTCTGCTTTTGTGCGTGTTTGGAGAAAGTAGAGTGACAAATGGCTACAGTTGACCACAAGTTTAACTTCAAAAATGAATAAAAAGAATTATTTTTCTCCATTTGTAAAATAAATTTTTTAAAATAATTTTTTCGTGCCAAAAGCGTTAACTGAAGCTTCAAAAACGGGTTTTCTTTAAGCAACGTCGCTGTACTTTGCAAACACAAGCAAAGAAACGGCTCAAATTAGCTGTAAATGGTCAAAAAATGAAGAAAATTAATATTTAAAAAATTCTGCTATGAGCCGGAATCGAACCCCTCCCCCTCCCCCTTCAAACACTAGACACCAATAAATCAGTTACAGGCAATATAATGCAGCTAAAGCAAACTAGCTTCGTGCATCTGCTGCGAAAAAGTCTATTACATTTACTCCTTGGTTTAGAAAGCAGAGTGATCTTCGTAATATACAGTTACGATTGCTAGTCCTTAAAAAAAAAGCTTTTTACTCTTCTTGCTTAGTTTACGCGCTGTAAGTCGGCCCAGTCAATAATTTTTAAAACAGTTCTGTCAGAAGATTCAAAGGTGTTTTCGAAATAGAAAAAAGATGCAACAAACATGGTCTATCTAGGGATTTATTGGCAGAAGGCTTGAAATTTTTAGTTTATCTAAAAAGCATAAGTTTTTCAGTATCTGCTTATTACAAGATTAATAAGCTTTCGTATACATAAGAAAAACATCATTTAATTCAGGAGGAAGACGATATATACAAACTAGTTAAATTTGAAGTCGAACATTGCACCAGTTTTAAGTGCGTGAAATAATCACCAAACAAAGCTTATGATGGACCACGAAGATCTAGTGGCTTTCCGTCTGACAGATAGTTTGAATATTGCACAACTGCTCGTATTAGGGTGCTTCATTAGTAAATCACATCGCCGTGAAAGATTGACTAATATTTTTGCTCAAAAGAACAGCATTACTTAAATCAGAAACCAAATTTCTGAAACTCATGGCTCAAACTTTTTATCTTCGTCGGATATTGCGGTTGCAAAAAGGGCATTTTGTTCGGACCACGGATATCTTTGAAGACAATTCCTGAAAATATAAGCAAAATGTTTCTCTTTTTGTAACTTTCAAATGTCGCAGATAAAGTCCAAGTTAAAATTAAGTGAATTTCAAAAATTTTCTGTGATAGCCGCTTTTACAGAAAATTCGCTCGATAGATTTTTTTCCGTTACTTGTTCTGAAAATGAAGTCTACTTTTGAAAAAGTTTTCTCATTTTCCTGGCATTTCTACTTTTGTTATTAGTGTATTTAGCGTGAGCAAATTGCAAAACCTTCTAGCAAAAAAACATACGATCTAAATACGGGATAAATTACTATTCCGCTGAGAACATGTAAATTAAACATGACTATGAAAGCTTCCATTTTTTCGTAATTTGCTCGCTTCATTGAACAGCTCATGTTGTCTTCCTTTTGATTAATGAATTAGTAATCTGAAAAGGTTTTCAAGTAGAAACCTCCTACGATTTTAGAACCCAACTGCGGATGCTCAGTTTTCACAGCCGGAAAAATTCAAAATCCAAAGACGTCTTTATTTTTTGTGCCAAAGACGTTTCAATTTTTGTTTATAAGACATTCTCATTTTATGGGCTCTGCTGGTTCTTACTAGTTGCACCTAATTTTATTATTCAAGATATTGCCGAAGATGATTTCTCTTTGTTCAATATCGCATTCATATCAAACTTGAAAAATAAGATCGCTGCAATTTTCTGGTAGATCATTAGAAATCGCTGAGGGTTGAAATGATGCTCCTTGTGTTCATACAGACGTATTCTGTCATCATTTCTATTATGCTTCACATCTACAGAGAACTTTTATAAAACTGGAAAAACTTTGAAAGATGGTTAAAACTAGTCATCAGTGAACACTGTCTCCATCAGTATTATCGTTTTCCCAAATGTTCCTAAATTTATCCTGCAATTTATTGTTTATGTCACGAATGTTATTTCTAGTAAATGCCCTTTTTTGTTTGTCGCCTTTATTGCTTGAAATACATTTTTCGCTGTTAAATATCATACTTGAAAGCACCACGGGATGAGCTGATGAAAGAAAAACCAGATCAACACTTTTTAAATTTTCAAGACAAAACTTAATCTACAATTTGAAACATGACTTATTTGAATGGAAATTATTAGTGCGTGTATAAAATATAATTTACAGAAATTAAGGCTGATGTTTTCTTGCTTGTTTATGACAAAATTGAAGTAGAAAAAAGTTATCTCAACATCCATATATGTGATATTTTAATCAAACTTAAACTGAGTCAAAGTCAAGCTGAAACAAGAGATGAAAATAATTTATAACAGGATGACAGTTAAGCCAAAAAATAGAAGACTTGGCATTCATGTGGGTCATGCGAAAAACCGATATTTCTGGCAGAATAATCCGATGATCTGTCTTCAGATTACAAGTCGCACACATCATGTACTTGATACATCACAAGCTATTAGGGTATAACGCTGCTGAGCACAGATGAACTTTCAATAGTTTGAGCATTGATAAATGTACTTAAACAAAATTAAACAAGCATAGGAACGAATTTTTATTTTACAGAGGCAGCAGCCCTTTAAATTCGGATTCTAAGTCAAAGCTCTGTAAAAAAATATAACGTAAGCAAACGCCAATCCGTTATTATCACCAAATTGTCTTAATTCAGGTTCTTAAATATTTACGCTAGATCAAATACATGAAGACTAAGTTAGTTTTTTCATGTCTAAGTCTGTCTGAAAGGTCCAGTGGTTTTGGAGAGTGAATATAGAACAATTTCATTCCTTCGCTGATGAAAGTTTTTCTAGTTAATTTTTGCATTTATTGTTCTACTTGTCTAGACACTTATGACTGTCTGACTGGTCTCGGAGGGGGTTCCTTCTGGTGTGAGTTGTGGAATGCACACCGCACTAGAGTGTAGGGGAAGACTGCCTCCAAGGCATCCATGCTTAAATAGGGACAGTCCTCCACTATTTGCTTCAACACCAGATAAGTTGTGTCACGTGATCTGCGCGACATCAACAGCGTCGCCGGGCTCATCGCACCTGTAACCCACACACTCATTTTCAAATCATCATACCAAAATAAAAAAAGATATTTCAACAATCATTTGGTCTACCAGGAGAAAACACCTACCAGGATAAAAGGTCCAAAGATAGCATTTAACACAGAGGCGAAGTTGAACTTCGCATACACAAGCAAAAATATGACCGATAACGCTTCTGGGAAAAACTGAATGAGTAAAACTTTGAGGCTACAAAACTTCATAAGTGACGCACGCAAATTATGAGTTGTTAAGTGACGCAAGCCAATTATGACGCGTTAGCAGTACGGATCTTTTTCCTTTTCCCCCACTTGCAAATTTTCATGATTCAAATTACTGTTCACATTGTCCGGTTGTCATGAAAATTGACATGCAGACTAATTAGGCCATGACAAACATATTTGATCTTCATAATCAATCTGGTAAAACCACTCCTTTGACCATAAAATTGATGTGCGTGTGTGAGGTGGGTGGGGGGGGGGGGGGTGGTGAGGGGGGAGAAAAAAGATCCAGCAGTACCAATCAATTTGAAAAAAAAATTTACCAACTAATATGCCTCAATTTATGGAGCGGACGCATTTTAATTAGTTTACGAAAAGTTCATAAAAACATCCGACCCTGTCCAGGTTCCAACCCTCTTATTTTGCTGCTGGTCTCCTTCCCTACCTCTACGCTACAAAACCATGATACCTCGAAGCTAAAGTGCTATTTGTAATATAATAGTCAGTGTTAACACATCCTTAGCATTGGCTGTACTTAATAGCTGGATCAAAATGAACACTTTCAAAATGAAATTTTGTCGCAACAATTGCATCGCAACAATATTTGCAACTTAGGTTGGAAAAAAAAGAAAGTTCAAACTATAACACAAGCTATGCTTGTGTAAATACCACGACCATCCATCATACAACGAAGTAAAAATTTTTCGCAATATTTTTCAAGGAAAACTATCAATATTTAGAATAGTTTGAATTTGAGTGAAAACGTTTATTGAAGTCACAAACCAGCCGAGTCCCCACTTCCTCCGTCAGCCGGCGACTGTGCATTGCCTCCCTCCGACATCCTCAACACACAGCTGGAGGCGTGAGTGAGGAATCGCACGAAGCAGTTCCTGATGTACTCTTCTTCCGGCTGAGGCAACATCAACAGGGTCATTGTGATGATAGAGTTGACTGCCTTGCCAATACACAAGGCGTTGCTACCACTCGCTGAAACCACAAATATTAAATTGTTCGTATCTCATTTTTTTTTTCAATTGACGCAACAAAAAAGAACGTAATAAAATTGATAGAAAGTAACTTTAAAGGAGAAAGAAAACAAAAACAAAAAGACGTTATTAACAATTTTTTCTGCAGATTCGGCATGAGATATTAGGGAAGCATTGATACTAAACGTCTATTATTCAGTTTGTTTCAAAGCGCGTTTTTTATTTTGATCATAAAAATGTTATCTTTATGATTAGCATCATATTGTTTTTACAACGCAATCCAAGTTCAAAAAAATGCGAAGATCATTTATAATCTACGCAAATCTAAATTGAACAATAGAAACTCTACTGAGATAGTGGTGACAACTTAAAAACATAACGAAAGAAATACATTTCCGAAGTCGAAACGATATCCGCTAACTGAAAACCATGCCCAACTGACAAATTGTTTTGAAAAGAGGTCATTTCCGTAGAATTAAAGAACAGATAAATTACCGCTAGATTTGTACACTATTCCTAAATTTTCAACGAAGTTGAAAGGATTCAGAGGCATTAACAACAGGTCAAAAACAAATCAGAAAAATTTTGATCTAAGGAATTCATTAAAAGTAATACCATCATCTTAATCAAAGCGATTCTCTTTCAGGTGACATTTATAAATGACATTTTTGATATGAGTATGGACTATGGACATAACACAAGCACGTAATCGTATTAATTTTGACCACAGCTTTCAAATCAGATTTACTGAAGCTGAAGGAGAAGGCTTTAAAAGAGCCATGCTACAAAATAATACATGTGGTTATGACTCACTTTCATAATAGCGGTTGAAGGGTAGGTTGTGCAGCTCCACAATGTCAGGCAGCGATAATCCGAAGAGAGTGATGAAACAGTTCACTAATTGGTCATTCTCGTGCTTAGTGCCAGTTCCTACGTGAAAACAAAAACTATTTAACATAGCCAACAGACAATTCGAAAAATGTGTATGAAGGAAACCAAAAAAAAAAAAATGATCGAACTTTTTTTAACACTCGAATTGCTGGGAAAAAACAAACACGTTGAAGCTCTTTGAATTTCTAGAACTTAGATGACTGGCACTATTCCATAAAATAAACCACTATTGAGAAAATTGGATCAATATGTAATGTTTTTTTTTGCTGGGAAATCTAAAAATTAAAATTCACTTTCCAAACAAAACAGGTTTTTTTCGCACCATTTGCACATTACTACTTGAGATTTTAATTTGCCTTTCTCTGAGCAAACGAAACTTAATTCAACTTAAACATAGCCAACCGAAGATTGGAGAAGAGTAATAAACGCAAGTAACCCGAAAAAAAACACCGACTGTCTTGACAACTTTCCAATTTCAAAGAAAAAATAGATGCCCTTTAAGCTCTTTGAATTTCTAGAACACTTTAAGACTGGCGCTTTTTTGATAACATGAACCGAACTAGAGAAAACTGGATCAATAGGTAGTAAAGCTTTTATTCCACTCGAAATCTAAAAATTAAATTCCAGTTTCGAAACTAGAAATCATTCACGTTTTTTTTGCGCCATTTCCACGTTCGTATTTGAAGAGTTCTATTTACGTCCCTTTCAGGACATGAATTTCAATTGAACTCAAAAAGTGAATATATACCTAAGTGCATTCATAAATGCAGCAGGTATATGAATGCACATCTGTAGTTATTCGAGACTTTTCCTGAAAAAAAATCAGCAAGACCTATATAAGAGTCTTCACTACGTTCATTACTCTTAAAAAAGGATCACAAGCTAATCTAAAGACACAACTTAAAAATCAAATTTGAGCTCGATCAAATTTTAAAGACTTTTTCTTTATCAAAACAAAAAACCGCACATTTGAATAAGTCTTCAATTTTGTTCACTGACATCTAAAATAGTGTTACTCACGCAGTTGCTCGAAGTTTTTTATTTTGAGCAGCTGTTGCAGTATGGGGTCATAGTACTTCACTTTGAAGCCAGCTGTGGCGGCCAAGTCATTTGCATCCTAATCACAGACACGAGTAACCTGATATTAATTTACACAAAAAAAACAGAAACAGCACAAATTAATCAAAAATGCTCTAGAAGGTGCAGTTTGTGGTGATGCTAGCATATGAACTATAAAATTGCAATTCCCAACTAAGATAAAAGCTATCACTTGCAAGGTAGATCATATAGTCAAGTAAGTCACTGCTTACATAGATTTAAACAACTAATTTTTGGGTAAGAGGAGCTTTGTACTTCTCAAAAAAACACCTTGAGATTGTTTTAAACTATTACCGGTCTCTGGTCTGGCTTTTCTAGTCCGGATATACATGACATGAGAAATGGGACTCTCCTCTTCAGTACATCATTCAGGGCAGTGGAGAGTAGATCCCTCAGAGCCAAGAAGGCGCCCATCATCGTCAACAGCTGATTTACTGTCTTCCTATCCTCTTTGTTAATCAGGGTGTCACCTGAAACCAATCTATTATTACAAACCAGGTTATTTTATGCCCTAAACGTTAAAAAAAAGACATTAGACGAAAAAACTTATTGCCTTTGTAACCCAAAAAATCAATACATTACGAGCCCAAGCTGTTGCAGTGCGGACTTGAATGATAGTGGATTCCACAGTCATTTTTATGATTTTTATTATAGTATTGAACTTTGATATTGATTTCAAATTTGATCGGCTTTAAAAATTTAGAACTCCACGCAGAGACGATATGAGTATATCATCACTTGCGGGCCAAGTGATGATATGCTTGGCATCGTCTCTGCAAGGAGTTCTCAATATTCTTTCAGGAAGAGTTCTCAAAAATTTTTAGCTTGCTGGGAAATCTGATCAATCCATTCCATTTTCGAAATAAGACGCCAATCGCGTTTTTCGTGACTTTTACATTTTTGCTGTTCGATGTGGAGTTTGCTTTCCTTTTAACAAGGGAAATGAACTGAACTTAAAAAAACTCAAAAGTCACATCGCGAAAAAGTACATTTGAGACTCTTCCTGAAAAAAAAAAACCGTTAAAAAATCATCGCGACCTATGTAAGAGTCTCAACTGTGTATGAATAGATGGCCTTTGAAGATGGCCTCGAAGCTCTTTGAATTTCATGATCACTTTATGATTGACACTTTTTTGATTCAACGAACACTTAAGAAAACAGGATCAACATGTAATTTTATTCCACTGTGAAATCTAAAAAATAAAACCCACTTTTCAAACTAGAAGTCTTTCGTTCTTTCGCTTTTGGTGAGCGCAAGTTGACTAATTTTCAGCAAAAGAATTTGAATTGAGCTTAAAAAATGCATAAATACTTTACATAGAGCATTCATAAATAGTTAAAATTGAATTGTCAAGAAATAGAGAGCACGTCAACAGCATTGTTAACCCGAAAAAGCCTATATTCCTATTTTACAAAGCTTCGTAGTACCATGCCGATTATAGCAAAAAAACTGGCTTGCCTTACCTAATTTGACTGCGTCTCCTGGCTTGGACTCTATCAGCTGGTAAATTTGGTTCAACTTCGGGGCCCGCTCATTTGCCAATTTCTAAAAATAAAGCAGTTGGTACGTACGGTACAGATTTTTTGTTAACTGACCGCAGGGTTTTCATGAGAATTTCGAGAAATCTTTTGTAACATCAATAGATTATTCCGCCGCCCCGCCAATAGCTTGCCTTTAGTTCCTGATACTGAGCTAATATCTTCTGCGAGATGACCTCGTTGATATAGCGCACTCCATAGGGTCCAATCATCTCAGCCAGACAGCGCAGCTCAGTGATATCCGAGAACTCCTCCACTGGAAAAGGAATCTCCGGTAGCTGGTTTTTAGCCAGAGGTGCCGTGGGAACTGCCAGAGATATGAAGCACTGGAAACGAATAAGCAGAAAATTTGGAATTTGGATGCATACGAATTTATATCAAAGCTCTAAAGCGATTACAATTTTTTTTTCAAAAATTGTCCCTTTTCCTTTGATAAATACTTCGAAAACAAGAGAAAGGGAGCGCTTGAAATAAAAAAGTAGACTAGATGAACACCCAATAAACTCCTCTGTAAAGAAGCATTTCTCGAGCCATAATACCTGACTTGTCGATGAAAGAGCCAGCATAATTTTTTTATATATTCAAGCAATGAATAAAAACTTAGCCAACAGACAGTGTCAGACAGACAGAAGTGTCAAAGGAATTGAGGCTACCAAAAACTGACTTCTTGACACAGAGCCGAAGCAGAACTTCGCACCACTTTCGATATATCGCAAACAAAGCATGGCTATGTAGCCCAGTAAAATAATGAGCCTACTAATTCTTTCATATCACGATTTGCCTCGAATGAATATTCTTGTGAAAGAATCATGTCAAGATGAACAAATATCAGAAACTCAAACCGACAATACGTGTGTAGATGACCGTTGCACCGAAGAAAAAAGTTGCCCTAAGAACTTGATGCTCGAAGTTTAAAAGTCCTTCTCGGCATGAAAGTATGATCATTGCCCAATATGCAACAAATGTAGCAATATGAGACTACTAAGCATTCATAACATATGCTGACAGTTTTTAAGCTGAAGAAAGCTTTAAACGTTTTCAGAGAAATTATTAGAAAACAAATTTTGACACATAGGCAAAACTGCGCTTCGCAAACACTTGCGAGAACACGACAAAAGGAAGCTCTATAAAATGTAATAAAAAAAAGGTTAAAATAAGCCTCGAATTAGTAAAAACTCTGCTACGTCTCGGATTCGATCTGCGACCTAGAGATTGAGTTTCACGAACTAACCACTCAGCCACGAACGCTTAATAAATCAGAAATAATAGCCACAAATGAAGCAGAAAACAGATGCTATGAAAATTCCAAAGCTGTATCGTGATTATAGCAAAAGTGCCACCAAATAGGTGAAAACTATAAATGAAAACGTTTATTTGCGAGTTAAGTTGGAAAAACAATAAGGATCGTATTAATAAAGTAACCCTCGCGAGCTCCTAGTGTAAATATAGCGGTTATTGAAATGCACATAATCTCAATATGAATCTATTGCACTAAACTTCCAACCGAGGCACATCCAGGAGATAAGTCCTTGGCGAGGCCTGCAGGAGATGACTTCTGTGATCGAAGTTCTTCAAGGGAAAAAATTCTAAACAAAATCGAAGCTGCACTTTGCAAACGCAAGCGAGAAAACGGCCAAAATTGGGTCTAAAAAGCAATAACAAAATGAAATAAAGAAAAAACGAAAAGTTACAGATAAGTCTTGAAAAACAAAACTTTTATTTTGAGCCGGAACAGAACATCCGACCTGGAGATTAGGAATCTCACGTCCTCGCATCTGGTCAACGATCGGTTGTAAATCTACAAATATAACCAACAGGCACTTGGAAAAGAAAACTGGATCAATAGGAAAATTTTTTAATCCGCCGGGAAATCCAAAAATTACATTCCACTTTCGAAACTAAAAATCGACCACGTTTTTTTGCGCTAATTTCACGTTCGTATTTGGAGAGAGCTATTTACGTCACTTTAACCTCAGCTGATTCAAGAAAACCAGATTAACAGATAATTTTGTATTCCGTTGAGAACCCTAAACACAAAATCCACCTTTGAAACTAAAATTCATCCACGTTTTTTGGACTTGGATACTAGAGAGCGTAATGAATTTAAGAAAAAAAACCAAAATTTAAAAAATGAATTGAAATTTTTCCTGCAAAAAAAAGGAAACACCACACGACCCGCAGAAGTATCTTTACTTCCTTTAATGAAAATTATCTGAAGAGACAATTCTAACTAAGTAATACAGTACCTTAAAGTGATCCGAGTACACTGCTTGTGACTTGCTGATGCTGGTCATGAAACCCTGGATGTACTGTTTGGTGTAGTACTGGGTGATGGTGATCTGTCCGTCTGCATCCAGTGGCAGAGAGTGCTGCATTAACACTGTGTTGAACAGGCGCGTCATGTCCAGACTCACTAGAATGATGAACAACTGCAATCTTACTTTCTGTTTTTCTTCAGAACAAATGATTATCTCTAAAAATGAAACTAGTCAAATCGAATAATAGGAAACGTTTATTTGGTATTGGCCAAGGTTTATTTGAAGTGCTTGATCTGACACAGTCAACTAAATGTTCGCTTATTAATAGCTCCAAACAAAGCCTTTCTACATTAATTTTTCAAATAATTATTCTGGTAGTAGACTTAAACTGCTGCCTGTTAAAACTCATTTGGTATAAAATTTATCGCAAATATCACGCAAATTTATA